CCTCAGGTGAGGCCGCCTGGCCTAGCAGGCCCCACGCCACCGCAGCCACCACCTCTGCCTCCCGGGCCGCCCGCTGCGGGGCCACCATGCCGCTGCCCCGGCCTGGAGACTGACCCTCAACCGCACCATCTCGAGGCTCTTCCCCCACCTGCTGGACCCCAGGGTAAGGACCAGGGACCCCAGACTCAGTTCCAATCCTGAGGACAGGGGTCCCCTCGCCTCTACCCAATTCGATGCCCACGCCCGATCCAGGGGCTCCCAAGGACCCCAAACATGACTGTCGGACGGCTTCCCAAGGACCCAGGACTCCAGCAGCTCTCCCATCAGACTTGGAGACTGGGCCCCCAGGTTTCTCCATGTCCAGACTCTGGAGTCCAGCCCTCAAATTCTTGCTTCCCCTCCGCCCTCTCTTCCCTCAGACCCCAAGGGTTCCAATCCCTGTTTCCTCCCACCCGGATCCATCACACCTGGCTCCCACACCCCTGCACCCCAGGCTCAGGCCTGGGGGCCCTCAGCCCTTCAATTCCAGGAGTCCCCATGGCACTGGTCAGACACTGACCCCATCCTTGAACTCAGCCCAATCTGCCTCCGTGATCACGGCATGCTCTGGCCAGAGCCCAGTCCCTCCAGCTTCCCTGGATGGACGCCTGGGACTGGGGGCGCCAGTGCTGGGCTGGGCTGGGCTCCCCCAGGCCCTGCCTCCCTGTTCATCTCCCCACAGGTCCCACCCCGGCCCAGGAGGTCAGCCGGGGAATCATTAACAAGAGGCTGTGACATGGCCGAGAAGGAGGGTGAGTCCCCCCCTTTCCTGAGCCCCCACTTGGGCTCTGCCTGGTGCCCTTCTGCTGTGCTCTCTCCTCAACCTTCCACCCCCATGGAGCCCCCATCTCTGGTCCCCCCTCCCAGGCCCGTCCCCACCCCCTTCTGCAGCCTCGTCCACCTGATTAACCATTAACTCCGTGTTCTGTGCACTTGTGCCACCCCCTGGCTCCCTGCTACCCCGGATGACCTTCCTGGCACCTTGCCTCAGTTTCCCCTCACCCCCAGTGATTTCTCAGCTCACCCTGAGCCTGTCCTCTACTTGGGGAATGGTGACATGGGGACAGGACGCTGCTCTGCTGCCGTGGTTAAGGGCCCAGATGTTAAGGTCAAACACACGGGGCCTTGCACTTGAATTTGCTTGGGCCACTTTTTTGCTGTGTGGTCTTGTGCAACTGACAGCATTTCTCTGCACTTCAGTCCCCCTTTCCCCTGCCCCCGGGGTCAAGTGTGGGTCCAATACTCCCTCCCTGAGGTAACAGGGAGCAGGGAACACACCAGGCACCCGCATGGGGGCTCAGGATGTAAGACGGGTGCCATAAACAGCAGCTGTCGGGACAGAGGTTGGAAGACTGAGTCCCAGGGACTCAGGACCCCCAGTGCGTCCTCACATTCCTCTTGCTGCCTGGCTCTGTGGGCTAAAGAGCAGAGGGAGGACTTTGGACTCAGCCCAGAGGGATGGAGAGAGAAGAGGAGCTGAGAAGTCACCCTGGGGATGCTGGAGAGAAGCCACCCCGCCGAGTGGATGGCATTCAAGGGCTCGAGGCAGCCCGCCGCCTCCCTCTCAGCCTCTTCCACACTTGGGGACCCAGCTGAAAGGGCAGTCTTTTCTTCCAACCCTACCCCAGTTGGGATTGACTCCTCCTCTTCTTCCTGGAGCCAGGCTACCTGCATTCAGTCCCAGACAGCAGCACTTTCTAGCTGTGTGGCCCTGGGCGAATAGCTTACCCTCTCTGGGTCTCAGTTTCCTCTGTAAAATGGAGATGGCATTTGTATACATGAGGGTACTGGCTGACATGACTAGCCCAGACTCTGGCCTCCTCAGGTCTCAGTCCTCAGTGTAGATAGCCACTCAGACCCTTAGACCCCAAACCATTCAGCTGCCATTCAGAGTGAACCAGTTCTCTGTCACTCAGGAGAAAGTGCCGGGCACCCGGCTGAGCAGGTGGGTGACAGAGCCTGGCTCCTTTGAGACAGTTTCTTCTTTCTGGATCTGAAGGGTTCTGATGCTGGACCTGCTGGCTGGGTCACTGGGGTGGGTGTCTGTGCCTCTCTGGGACTCCTCTCCTCATCTGTAAACAGGATGATGTGTGCCTAAGGCTCTCAGTGCTTCTGGGGACTGGGGAATCCGAGGAGGTGACTCCTGAGTTCAGACTCAAAGGATGAGGAGGGGTAGGTAGCGTGTGCCAGCAGGGGAAGAAGGCGGCTGAAGCCCGGGTGGCAGACTGCCCCGCGGCACAGCGAGCGCAGCTGGTGCTGCTGTTTCTGGAGGTGACGCAGGAAAGGAAGCCGTGGGGGAGATGAGTGCTGCCACTGGACCAGGCTCTGTCCCTGCTGGGTCAGGAGCAGGGGATTCCTTGGCAGTGCTGGGTCTCTCCACAAGGTGGCGCTGGCGGCAACGCTTCGTGCCTCTAGTTGGTGGTATAAGTTCTGTGCTCCCCTGGCTCTAGGAAGCTCTGGGAGGTGTCCGATAGGGAGCCGAGCGCTGTGTGGAATTTGGGGAAACACATCCAACCCTCAAGTCTCAAAAAGCCACACTTTATCCTACAGGGCTGGACATGTCCGGCTGAGGGACTTAGCCTCCATTCTGGGGGGGGGGCACTAGGGAGTCATGGATGGTTCTAGGTTAAGAAGGGACGGGTTGGATTTGGCATTTTAGGAAGGTTCCCCAGGCTTCCTTGTGGAGGGGGACCCGAAGGGGAGACAGAGCTCGGTGGTTGGATGGGACTGAACTGAGGCGGGACCAGGGGAAGGGAAGGAAGGGTGGACAGGAGGGTCACTTAGGAGGACTGGCCAGCTTTAGGGAGAAGGAAGTGTCCTGCAGTTGAGGGCCAGTCCTGGGGAGGAGGGCCTCGGGACCTGAGGGGAAGAAGAGATCTGGGGAGGCCTTGGGGCCCTATGGGACCTGGGGGGGGTGAGAAGAAACTAGGGGGCTTCAGGGGAAGATGCCCGAGAGGCTGCAGGACCCCTGCCCGGGGCTCAGAACACAGTCCAGGGCGGAGGACAGAGAGTGCTGAGGACAGAGGCAGGTGAGACAGACGTCAGACCCAGGAGGAGAGAGAGGGAGGAGCTCGAGGCCATCTTAGGAATCTGGATTCCAGGGAGTGGACAGAGAGCCTGGAGCAGAGCCTTGGAGGGGTCCTGGGAACACAGTGTGTGTGTGGTCCCCAGAGAGGGGGCATCTCAGGCAGGAAGTCCAGGTCATGTAAGAGAGGGGTTTCCACAGATTCAGATTCAAAGATGTCACCTTTGGTGGAGGCAGAACCGTCCCGCGAGAAGCTGGGGGACCGCTGGGTGACGCCCCGAGAAACAGAGCAGAGAGTCTCAGGGAACAGTGGGTCCAGGAGAGGCCTGACCTGCGGAGCACAAAGCCCCATAGCTTCCAGAGATTGTGATGTTGAGGATGTCACCTCTCAATGGCAGGAGCAGAGAGCATCTTGTCCCAGCAAAGATACCCAGGAAGGGTGTCTCTTTCACCAGGGGACCCAGGTGAGGACGCAGCCTGTCCCACCGGAGGGACCTGTTTTGGAGGTGCTCAAAGTCCTAGCATGGAAGGAGGTGCTTTCTTGTCACCCGAGGAGACACAGGTGGCATTGCTTGCTGTCCCCCCACCCAGATGCATCAGAGCCTCTAGGTCTTGTGTAGACTGCACCCCTGGCAGGCACACCCCGAGACAGAGGGCCCGGAGCCTGTAGATGCAGGAAGCCAAGACACTCCCCTGGAACCAGGAAGATGTCAGAGGCCGAGCTGGGCGTGGGGACAGGCCTGAGAGCCCTCCCCACCCGTCACCAGGACAGGCAGGGGCTGAGCTGGGTCGCCTCTGCCCATGGCCTCCTGGAGGGATGCAGCATTTCCTGGTGCTGGTGGGAGCCGCTGGCTCTCAGATTCTCAAGCCACTCAAACAGTGACTCTCCCAGGAAGGTCCTGGGCCACTCCCGGCTCTGTTCCGGGTACTGACCTGGCACTCTGCCACCAGCATGCCACCCAGACACGGACGAGGGAGCTGGGAGCTCTGAAGCCCTGAGAGAACTTTCTGGCAGCAGAGCCCAAGACAGGGCCAGGGCAGGGCCATTAGTGGTCTTTTTCCTTTGGTCCTCCTAGAATCCCTAGCGGGAGAGTTGGCGTTGGATCTCCAGGACCTCTGTGCACTGGAAATACAGTTCTTCCTCCCTCTGGGCCACGAGGCCTCCCTAGTTGGCCCGGGCCTTGGTTCCCACTGCCCTCCCTCAGCCTGTACCCTTCTGGCCTCCTCCAGAGCCTCTCTAGCCCTCTAACACAGTGAGCTTGTTCTTGCCTCCTGGCTTTGCCCATGCTGTTCCCTCTGCCTACCATGCTGTTCCTTAATGTCCTTGCATGGCTGCCTTTGCATTCTGGTCTAGCTCCAAAGTCTTTTCTCCTCCTTCTCCTTCTCCTCCTCCTTAACAGGGATTGAACTCAGGGCACTCGACCACTGAGCCACATCCCCAGCCCTATTTTGTATTTTATGTAGAGACAGGGTCTCACTGAGTTGCTTAGGCCCTTGCTAAGTTGCTGAGGCTGGCTTTGAACTCGGGATCCTCCTTTCTCAGCCTCCTGGGCCACTGGGATTACAGGTGTGCGCCACTGCACCTGGCTCAAAGTCTCTTCTTCGGGAGCCTCATCCCCCTTGAGAAGCCCCCCACCTCCATTATTTTCCTCACAGCCTTTGCCACAATCTGGAAATTATCAGGTTCATGTTTAGTTGTGGGCATCCCCGCTCCCAACTCACACCCTGAGAGAGCCATCCTCTTGCCTGTTTGTCTTAACCTCTGCTCCCAGAGCCTAGAGTGGTGCTAGGGACACAGAGGATGCTCAGTAAGACAGAGAAAGGCTCAAGCTCCCTTTTACCCCTGCAAATAGAGGCTCAGAGGGGTGAAGGGCATTGCATGGACCACAAAACTCTAATGAGGTCTCAAGCATGTACTGAGCACTTGCTGTATGCCAGTGACACCATGAGAGGCTTCGTGATTATGTACTTTGGATCTGGCACCCAGTCTGCCCAGGGTTCAGATCTCAGCTCTGCCTCTTGCAGGCTGAGTCACGGTGGGCATGTGACTCGACTTCTCTGAGCCGTAGGAAAAGTGGGCATCGCCATGCAGGGCTGATACACAGACTGAATAGTTGATGTGTTTAGAACAGTGCTCGGTGCGCAGCAAAAAATGAGTTGGGTCAGTATTATTTAAAAGGACTTTATTTTTTTTATTTATTTATTTTTTTAGAGAGAGTGAGAGAGGAGAGAGAGAGAGAGAGAATTTTTAATATTTATTTTTTAGTTCTCGGCGGACACAACATCTTTGTTGGTATGTGGTGCTGAGGATCGAACCTGGGCCGCACGCATACCAGGCGAGCGTGCTACCACTTGAGCCACATCCCCAGCCCTTAAAAGGACTTTAAAGTGTCGCTTTTAGAAGTGGGTGCTGGGTGGGTGCCCGAGTCTCAAAGAAATGGTGCCATTGCCCAAGATTCCAGCCAGAAGAGTGAGGCTGGCAACTTTCCAAACTTCGGTTCTCAACTTCCAGGGACCACATTGGGTTTGGGGGCTGGGGGGTGGGTCTCCCAAGCAACAGGGGAGGGGGAAATCAGCGTCATGAGCCCCGATGCTGCAGGAGCCCCTGGAAAAGTCAGCCGAAGAGAGAGGTCAGGGGGCACAAAGTGACGACAGAAATGCCAAAGCTCAGTGTCACCTGGCAGGAGGAGTCTTCTAAGAGCCAGAGGAGTGCCAGGGTAGTGGCAGCGGGCCCAGCCATGGCCCCTCCCCAGCTGGAGCCCTTGGGGAGCTGGACACCTGGTTGTCCACCTGGCTGGGGAGGGACCGACCGCCCTGCCCATTGCTCGGCCCCAGGAACCGGGCCCAGGGCACAGCAGGCTCAGTGGTGACAAGTTAGCCCTGGGGGGCAGGGCAGCTGGCCCGGTGCCTGGACCCTGCGGCAACGGGGACAGGCCTGGTAGTGGCCCAGCATGGTGTCTGTTGCAGGTGGCCGGACTGTGCCATGCTGCTCCGGACCCAAGGTGGCAGCTCTCATTGTGGGGACCCTCCTCCTCCTGACGGGCATCGGGGCAGCGTCCTGGGCCATCGGTGAGAGTGGTCCCTGTGCCTCTGACCCCCCCTGGCCCTGCGGCCCCCGATGCCTGCCCTCACCTCCGCCTTCTCTGCAGTGACTCTTCTACTCAGGAGTGACCAGGAGCCGCTGTATCCAGGTGAGTCCAGCAGCCGGGACCCTCTGGGGGGCCCTGGAGGAACCTGCGGGGACGGTGGCTCAGTAAAAGTATTTTGGAGTGAACGTATCGGTGCACGCGGAAATGCTAATGATCATAGTGCATTTGTATCGAGTGCCAGCTGTGGTCCCAGGCATGTTTTAATAAGTCCGTCCCTTGTCCAACCCAGTGTTTCTCAGGCTCCAAATGGCTTACCCCTGAGTGCACGGGGGATTTAAATTAGGGAGTTTTGGAAACTCCCACTTTTTAAAAGTGATTAGAAAATATCAGGGTGCATCTCTCCCAGTAGGAAAAAAGTGTGGTTCGTTTTCTTGTTTGGGTTTCGTGTGTTCATCGACATGCCATCCCGTGGCCTCTTCCAGCAGCCCTGTGAGGGTGGGAATGTGGTTCTCCCCATTGTACAGATAGGGAAACTGAGGCTCCCTCATGTAGTTAGCCTCAGACCTCAGCGTTCCGTGGACCATGTTGCGCTGTTGGGCCTGGTCAGCACGTGTTCTGGAGGCACAGTGGGAATTCAGGGATCCTCTAGCTCCCCTAGGAGGCAGGAGAGCGAGGTTTGCTTTTGCTACTCTTTGCCCATTTTCCAGACTTGGGAAATGAGTACCAGAGAGGACACAGCTGGTACTGATGGGCCCGGAGTGGCTCACCTTGGCTGATGTAGCCATGGCTGCAGGCCCTCGGGGTGCCCGCCACAGCACTCAGGAGATGCAGAAACGGACTGTGGGATGGGGGAGTGAACCTGCCCTAATGCCTTGTGTGACCCCAGGGCAGCCGAAAGAAAGGGGGACTTGCTTGGGAAGTGTGTTTTCACATCTTCAGGCCGCCTCAGATTTCTTAAAGAATTCAGTTCACACCAAGAGCCATAATGAAGTTCCAGACCCAAAAAGCCAGCATCAGCGACCCCTCTGCCGGTGGGCACTTAGGTGATGTTTGCCTGGGGCTTGACCGGATCAGCTTTTTTTTTTTTTTTTTGGTACCAGGAATTGAACTCAGGGGCACTCAATTCCAGAGCCACGTTCCCCAGCCCTTTTTATTTTTTATTTAGAGACAGGGTCTCGCTGAGTTGCCTAGGGCTTTAATAAGTCGCTGAGTCTGGCTTTGATCTCAAGATCCTCCTGCCTCAGCCTCCTGAGCTGCTGGGATCCCAGGCGTGCGCTGCGGCACCCAGCTCCAATCTGTTCCTTCAGTCCTCCCAAGCGCCCCTGTTTGTAGGGGGGAACCAAGGCACATTTTGGCCAAGGGACTTACCCCAGGTCACAGAGCTAATAGGTGGCAGGGCTGTGACTTGCACCCAGGCAGCCTGGGTGGCCACTGTGGGTGACTCCCACCCTCTATTGTGTGTCAAGGAACTGCTGAATTCGTTGCCATGGTAAAGGGTAACCTCTGCCAGGTCCCAACCACAATCTTTACCCAACAGGCCTACGGCGGGCTGGGAGTTGTCATAGGTCCAGAGTTTTGTGTGGGGTGTGGGGAACCTGGCACCCAGTGAGGTGAACCGACTTACCCGAGACCACTCATTGGCAGAGACATGAGATCAGGCCCTTGCAGAAAGCCCCAGGGGTGGCACCTCACAGGCTCCTGGGCTCCCAGGACGTGGGACTCAGTCCACCCCACCTCCCCCGACCTCCAGCACTCTCTGGGCTCCAGCCTGTGGGGGCCCCCCTGCTCCCCCCGATGTCCCATTCCCGCTGTCCTCGTGGACCCACCTCTTGCTCCCACTCCTGGTGTGCTTCAGGCCGGCAGGGGCATTCTGTTTACTGGTCAGGCAGTGCTTGGTGCACAGTAGGCACTCAGGACATCTTGGCTTAATAAATAGCACAAGGATAGATCACCGAGGTGAGCCAGGCTGTCCTGGGCCTTCAGCTGGACAGTCACCTGGATCTGGCCAATTTCCAGAACCCTGGGGAATCGTGAGTCAAAACGACCCCCCCCCCATCCCTGCCTTGTTTTGTGGATTTCCCACCTCAGTCCGTCGATGTAGGAGGCCCACCAGGCGGCCGAGGACGCACTTTTGGCATGGCCTAAAATAATACAAACAAGAAGAAAACATTTCAAAGGGAGACGCGGCGCATAGACTGTGGTTTTAAAAATAACCGGAGGCGGCCTTCTGTCCCCCTCCCCTCCCCCGCTCCCCACACCTCCCGCAACACCCGTCCACGGGCTCACTCCTTTTTTCTCAAACCCCACACTTGCTGGAAATTTCTGGAACAGTGAGGCCTCGTTTAAAAGTAAGACTCCACCTCCTCCCCACCGCCTCTGCCTTGCTGTCCCAAACTCTGTTCTGGTCTCAGAGCTCAGGGAGCCGCGGGCACCACGCAGGGGAGAGGGGCACCCCCCCCCCAGCAAGAGGCCATCATGACCCTAGACCAGCCAGACAGCTTTTCAGTCCAGTGCAGCCAGGGAAGGGTCAGGCCCCGTCCACATGGAGCAGGGACTGAAGGTCGGCACGTCTGGGGTTCAGATCCTGGTTCCCCCAGTTCTTCGCTGTGTGTCCCCGGGCACGAGTATCCTTCCTGGGCTAACCCCCGCCCCCGACTGGTTGGATGGGCATGGAAGAGGTCACTAGGTGGGCCTGGTTTCCGCCCTGTCCTGGCTGCTCACTGGCTTGGTGGTGTTGGGTGTGCCAGCCCATCTCTCTAAGCCTCTCCGTCTTTAAAATGGCAGTGACTTGGTGGCTACGAGGCCTGGGTTGATGGCGGGGAAGGGAGAGTGTGGGCATAATGCCAGGCACACAGTAGGTCCTCGGCAGGGCAGGTGCTTGTTGGAAGTCCTGCCTTCCCTGGTTCAGACCTGTGGGTACCCAAGCAGGCCCGCCTGGGTGCGGCCTCACGGGGCTCCTCTTAGAAGAAGTCAAAGGCCAGTTATCAGCAGACTCGGTGTCCCAGAAGATGCCATCAGGCCACGCTGGGGGCTCCGGAGAGCACACAGAGGCCCACGGCCCATGCTTCCACAAACCCGTCCTCTCTGCCGGCCCGTCCCCACCTCTGCAGCTCCATCCTCCTGGTGGCTCTGAGGGCTTGTCCTTGACTCCTCTCCTGCCTTCACATTCACAAGTAGATCCAGAGCAGACTGTCAGCTCCACCTGCAAAACTCATCCAGAATCGCACTCTTCTCCAGCCCCCTGCTCCCGCCTGGGCCCAGCCCCTGCCCCCCCCTCCCGCCTGGGCTCCCCCACCTGCAGTCAGGGGAGCTCCAGCTCTGAGCCCCCTGCTGCACGGGGTTCCAGCTCAAAGCCCAGCCTGGCTCCATCCCATCTCCGGTTGTCCCCACCCCCACAGCCCCCACCCTGCACCCGCCCTGGGTTCTGCGAGTCCCTTGGCCTAATTTGCTGTCCCCTCTCATATCTTTGCCTGTCTTTCTCACCTCCCTCAGATCCTTAGATGCCACCTTCTCTGCAAAGCTGTCCCTGCCCACCTACTGAGATGTGCCACCTCAGGCCGTCCCCTCCCGTCAGCTTCCTTTGTCTCCGTAATCCCTTCTTCTGTTGTGACATGTGACATATTTTACTGCTTCCTCCTGTTTATTATCTCTCTCCCCGGCTCGGGGCTGCACCAGGGCAAGGGTTTGTCTGATGTGTTCATTGCCTAAAATAGCTCCTGGCACCTCTGGTGTGTTTGGTAAACAGAGGAAATGCACCTGAGGGCTGTCCTGCTCAGGTGCTATCAGGGATCCCCTGATGCATGGGCTGGATCGATGGGCCCCTGGGGACTTCAGTCTCCACATAGACTGCCCCCCTCCCCCAGCCCAGAGCAGAACCACCTCCCAAGAGCTTGCTCCCCTCCGGCCCTCCTGGGTAGCTTAGTCCTGCTTCATGTCAGGAACTGCTTTTCATTCCTGTCTCTCCAGACTTGGTGGCTTGGTGATGGCAGAGCCCAGAGCCGTCTCTTGGGTCATCCTTGTGTCCTAGCGCTACTGGGCTTGGAGCATGGTCAATGTCTGATGCGTGAACGAATGAATATTGCTTTGCCTAAATGGGAAATCATGCATCTTAGCATTCAAAAAGACAGAAAAGCCAACCTTCTTCTCCCTCCTCCTCTTCCTCCTCCTCCTCCTCCTCCTCCTCCTCCTCTTCCTCCTCCTCCTCTTAACCCTAGAATATTTATTTAAATGTTTTAGGAACCTGGTGTATTAGTCAAGGGTCTTCAGACTGCAAAAGACAAAACCAAGTAATCAATTGGCTAAGCAAATGGGAAATTATGAGCTCACCCAACTCTGGCCTTTCTTTGGGGCCTTTAAAAATGTCCCCAGAATCCTCTCCGCTCTCCCCCACATGGGAACTGCCCTTTTTTCTCACGGGGGCAAAGAAGGCCCTTAACATCTGAGTGATGGGTGCAGCCACTTTGGAAAACTGGGGACCTTGGTGGGAAGGACTCTCTCTCCCGAATGCTCCAGTTTCAGTGACCAGCTTCGGAGTCCGGGGCCCAGCCGCTGGTGTCCCCAGCTCCTTGCCCTTCAGCGCCTGCGCTTGCTCCTGGGCCCTGTGAGGCCTGGGGCTGGAGCCACCTGACCTAACAGGCCAGGGGGGCTGTGGCCAGGGGGGTGGGTCGGGAGCCTGACCGTGGGACCCAGGCGGCCGGCTCTGTCACCCTGCAGTGCAGGCCAGCCCTGTGGACGCCCGGCTCACGGTGTTTGACCAGACGGAGGGGACCTGGCGGCTGCTGTGCTCCTCGCGTTCCAACGCCAGGGTGGCGGGGCTCGGCTGCGAGGAGATGGGCTTCCTCAGGTACCAGGGAGCCCCAGGGGGTGGGGCTGGGGGTGGGTGGAGCAGGTCTGACCCCTGCCCTGCCCAGGGCCCTGGCCCACTCGGAGCTGGACGTGCGGACGGCAGGCGCCAACGGCACGTCGGGCTTCTTCTGCGTGGACGAGGGCAGGCTGCCCCACGCCCAGAGGCTGCTGGACGTCATCTCCGTGTGGTGAGGGGGGCAGCGGCGGGGTGGGACAGTCCCTGGCCCCGGGCTCCTCCTGTTCCTCGTCTGGACTCATTGGTGTTTCGTTTCTGGGTCCTCATCCCTGTCTCCATCCCAGCGACTGTCCCCGGGGCCGGTTTTTGGCTACCGTGTGCCAAGGTGAGACCCCAAAACTCAAGACTGTTTCCTTTAGCTTCTCCCCCGGGGGGAGGGAACATGGCCCCTGAGACTCTCCCCAGGGCAGGGCTGTGGCCCTGCAGGTCCTCCAAGGGGCTGTGTCGAGACCGCAGGGTGGGGCAGGGCCGGGCTCTGTCCCCTCCGTCCCCAGGGCAGGTCTCCCTGTCCTCAGGGCTCTCAGAACCCAGGGCCAGGCCTCTGTTGGGCTCCCACCTCCCCCTGCCACCCCGATGCCTTCCCCCACAGACTGTGGCCGCAGGAAGCTGCCCGTGGACCGCATCGTGGGGGGCCAGGACACCAGCCTGGGCAGGTGGCCCTGGCAAGTCAGCCTGCGCTATGACGGCGCACACCTCTGCGGGGGGTCCCTGCTCTCCGGGGACTGGGTGTTGACAGCTGCCCACTGCTTCCCAGAGTGAGTGTCCCCACAGCACCCACCGGGGGCGAGGCGGTGAGGCCGTGCCTGGCCGGCCACCACCTTCCCTCCTGTCCCTTGGCAGGCGGAACCGGGTCCTGTCCCGATGGCGGGTGTTTGCCGGTGCAGTGGCCCAGGCCTCGCCCCAGGGCATGCAGCTGGGGGTGCAGGCCGTGGTCTACCACGGGGGCTACCTTCCTTTCCGAGACCCCAGCAGTGAGGAGAACAGCAATGATATCGCCCTGGTCCACCTGTCCAGCCCCCTGCCCCTCACAGGTACTTCTCGGGGACAGGGATGACTTGGGGACTCCAGAGACAGGCAGGACAAAGGAGGGGGACAAGAGCAGACTAGCATGCATGGATGGTCCAGGTGTTCGTGGATCAGGGGAATGAGTGATTGTTAACTCTGGCAGCGGGTGCAGCCACCTGGGAATGTTCTGGAAATTGACCATGTGACAGTTCCATACCTGGGGTGCACATCCAGGAGGGACACACACGTGTCTACACAACTGTGCACAAATGTTCACATCAGCATTATTTATAAAAGCCCAAAGATGGAAACAACCCACATGCGTATCATCTGACAGATGGATAAACACCACAGAGTGCGTCTCTACAGCGGACTCCTATACGGCCATGAAAAGGAAACAAGATAGGGGTTCACCCGGCACCACGGGTGAACTGGGGAGTCCTTCTGCCCATGAAGGAAGCCCGTCTTGTGTGATTCCATTCCTACGAAATGCCCAGAACAGGCAAATCCATAGAGATCAAAAGTGGGTTCATGGTTGCCAGGGGTGGGCGGCGGGACCGTGGAGACTGGGAGGATTGGTAAAGGATACAGGGTTTCTTTTGGGGGTGGTGACATGTTCTGAAGTCCAGAGTGGTCACCGGGTGTGTCTGGGAATACCCTGAAGCTGTGGACTTGCATGTTCCACGCTGTGAGGAGGACGGCCTGGGAGGTGTAGCTCACGAACGTGCTGCCCAGAATAATTAAATGAAACATGAAATCTAAACGGGGAGGGGACAGATCCGTGGACAGGTCACCAGGAGTCCCTCCTTCCACAGTTCTCTGGTTAGAACTCGGGTCCCAGCTCTCGCAGGCCCCAGTGTGATAGCAACGAAAGTCATGATACAGGGACGATGCAGTTATGGGCCACAGGAGGTGGTTTTGGTCAGTGACGGACTGCACAGGGGACATGGGCCCGTGAGCGGCCTCAAGCATCTCGGGTCGCGTCAGCTGCGTTCTGGGTTATTTGCACAAAGTCACGGAACGATCCATTTCTCAGATACGGACCCCACCCTTAAGTCACGCCTGGCTCTAAAGCGACGAGGTGACTCCGTAGTGGCTTTGCCCACGAGCCTCCAGGCTGGCGCGGTGCCTGCCCCGTGCCAGGCTCTGTCCTCATCCCTTGCTCACGGTGGCCCCGAGGAGCATCTCACAGAGCCCGTGGCCCACCTGCACCGGGTCCCCGCACGGGGAAGGAAACGGCTCCAGGCTCCACGGCTGGCGAACGGCAGAGCCGAGCTGGGGCTGCCTGGCGCTGCCCGTGGTGCCAGCCGGGGGCCCGCAGCATGTTTATTGTGGTCATTTTCCCTTTTGGGATCTGAGGTCCTAGTCTTTCACTTAAGGGAGGGATGTACGTCTTTTTCTTCCCTTCTCCTGAGCGAAGAGTGGAGGGTTTACAGCGTTGAAATGAGGACTGTGGGGTGGCGGGGAGCAGCCGGGTTTGAGACGCGTGGCTGAGGGCTCTGGGGACGGATCCGGGGATTTGTCGGCGGTGGGATCTGGGGCACGTGGCTTCACCGTACTGTGCCTGTTCCTCAGCTGTAAAACAGCTTCCTGGGGTTGTTGAGGCCATCGAAAGGGTTCAAATGAGAAAAGAGCTTTGAGAATCAGCAGCCCAGAGCAAATGCTCCCAAACCGTTAGCAGTTACTGCTGGGACGGTCACTTATTACTGTGACTAGTCACCAAGTACTTGCTGTTTGATTCCAGGCATATGCTGCCTCACCGGTGCTTCCGGTGGGTCATGATCATTATTTTGATTTCACAGCTGAGGCCTCTGAGTCTCAGGCAGGAAAAGTCAACAGTCAGGGCTGACAGGACCGCTGGGGAAGGTTGTGCACTGCACAAGGGTGCCACATCTCGGAGGGGCATTCTTGGTGTAGGGCTACTGTATTTCTCGTGACGACAGGTGCAAGTCAAGCATTTCGACACAGGATTCTTCCCAAAGGTGCCCTTTGGGCTGGGGGTAGTGCCATGGCTGTGGTTAACAAAACAGGCTTAGAAATTGGGCCGACCTAGGTTCAAATTCTGACTTCACCATTGATTCGTTATGAAACTTTGGTCAAGTGACTTGGCCTCGTTTCCCTTTTCTGGGGTCATGGCTGCCCCTACCTCCCGGGGCTGACGGGAGATGAGATGAACAGGAGAGCACTTAGCACACTGAGAGCTCGCCTACGCGGTGGGTCACTGTGGCCATCGCAGACGCTCAGAGGGCAGGGTCCGGTGGGGGGACGTGGAGGCAGCTGAACGGGCTTGTGCTGGGCGGGGCAGGGCAGGCCAGCAGGGGCTGGACCGACGGGGTCTCTGTTACAGAATACATCCAGCCCGTGTGTCTCCCGGCCGCGGACCAGGCCCTGGTGGACGGCAAGATCTGCACCGTGACGGGCTGGGGCAACACGCAGTACTATGGTGAGTCCTGTGCCCTGTCTCATCATTAGGGAGACTGACCCGGGCAGGGGAGGGGCAGTCCGGTGTGCTGGACAGCCACAGGCCCTGGTGTGTAGAGACCTGGGGGTCTTGGGGTGGGCGCCAGGAGGGAGGGGGTCGTGCATGCCCCTCGGCTCCGGCCAGCCTTGCCCCCGCACCCCCAGGCCAGCAGGCCCGGGTGCTCCAGGAGGCCCGAGTGCCCATCATGAGCACGGACGTCTGCAACGGCCCTGACTTCTACGGGAACCAGATCAAGCCCAAGATGTTCTGTGCCGGCTACCCCGAGGGTGGCATCGACGCCTGCCAGGTGAGGGCCGTGTGGGGACAGCCGGGCCTGCCCAGGGACGGAGACCAGGGCGGTGGGCGGTGGGGCTCCCTGCCCGAGCACAGAGGGCCTCCTGGCCTCCAGCCGCCTTGCCCTTCCCTCACCAGGGTGACAGTGGCGGTCCCTTTGTGTGTGAGGACAGCATCTCTCGGACGCCACGTTGGCGGCTCTGTGGCATCGTGAGCTGGGGCACTGGCTGTGCCCTGGCCCAGAAGCCGGGTGTCTACACCAAAGTCAGTGACTTCCGGGAGTGGATCTTCCAGGCCATAAAGGTGAGGTGTCCCCTCCCCACTGGGGGGACTCTGGGGTGCTAAGGGGAGGCTGAAATTTGGGGGCACCCTAGAAGAAGGCGCCCTGGGGGACAGATGGGTCGCCAGTCTTCTGCGGAAGGGAGATGGCTCGTGGGACTTTGGGGGAAGCCCCTCGGACCTCGGAAGCCCCAGCTGTCTGTCCCCAGACTCACTCCGAAGCCAGCGGCATGGTGACCCAGCTCTGACCTGTGGCGGCTCCTCGCAGCACACCTGTCCGGGGCCCGAGGTTGAGTAGCTTCAGCTCCACACGACAGGATCCACGCTGAGCCCAGGAGGGGATGCTCTTCCTCTGGGACCAGTCCACAGGCCCAGGGACGCCCTCCTCCAAGGTCCTGTCTTCCACAGTGGGGGGCCCACTCTGCCTCACCCTTCCGACCCTTGTAAATATTGTTCTGCCCTCTGGGGGCTCCTGTCTGGAGGCCCCTGAGGACAGGATGCTGTTTAAATAATAAAGATGGTTTTGATTAATGCGGCCTCCGAGTTTGCAAGAGTCAGCAGCGACGAGGACATTTTGCGGGGAGGGAAGAGAGGAATTAGGGCCTGGGGTTTATCAGGTAGAGCGTGTGATCCCCCACTTTCCACAAAATTAAGATTTTTTTTTTCAAACACAGTGACACCCACCTGTAATCCCAGTGACTTGGGAGGCTGAGGCAGGAGGATTACAGATTCAAGGCCAGCCTCAACAACTTAGGGACACCCTGTGTCAAAATAAAATAAAAACTGGTCCTGGGATATAGCTCAGTGGTAGAGCACTTGCTGAGTATGCTTAGGACCCCCAAGTCAGATCCCTAATATAGCAAAAAAGAGAGAAGATTTTGACCAGTTTGCTTAAATGGAAATGCCCTGGGGGCATACTGGCTTCAGGTACTGCTGGATCCAGTTGCCCTCAAATCTACTTTAATTGTGTCAGCTTCATTTCCAAGCAGCCGCTCCTACCCACAGAGACAGGGACCTCCACCTAAACTCCAGGCTTAGACCCCTCACCCAGCTTTGTAGCTCCAGCCACAAATGTTTCTTCCCTAATAGCAAAACAACAAGTCCCAATGAGGCCCAGGTCTCTTGAACAGATTTGATGGTATGTTCTCATTGAATCACTCTGCACCTGGTGCATGTGGGGGTGGGGTGGGGGTGGGGGGGGATGCACAGGGGGCTGTCCTTCAAGAACAACGTAAGCTGAAATGAAGACTTGTTTCCAGAAAAAGTGGACATCAATGCCCAGTGAGCAAAAGCACATCTTCTTTGGATCAGCACAGAAAACAGGGCCTTTTGGGTGGAGGTGGGGTGCAGGCCTTGTGATTGCAGGCCCTCACCCCTACATCCATGTGGGCTGGGGTCAGGTCCCATCTTTTCTTGGAATGAGGCTCCCCAGCCCGTATTTCTCTCTCTCTCTCTCTCTCTCTCTCTCTCTCTCACACACACACACACACACACACACACACACACACACACACCCCCTCTGGAGCATCTGCAGATCTTTGTGATGGCCAAGAGGGCCACCAGAGGGCGCTGTTGCTTGTACATGGCGAGAACACGTTTCCAGCCTAGTGCTGTTAAAAACCAGCAGAAATAATGTGTCCGCCTGTTTCTCAATATTTTAAAGGATAAAAATTATAAGGCATCAACCTCAAGCTCCCAAGAAATTTCCTAGAGTATAAATAGACCCCCTCCCCCCAAAAAGTCTTCTTTGAAGGACTAACAGAACATCCATTTGGGAAATGCTCCAACCATGTACCTGTCCCTGATCCCCAAGCCTTAGTGAGGCTGGTCTCCACCACTGCCGATCAGTGGAGTCTCCCAACCCTGTTTCTCAACTTGGAGAACCTGCACACAGACTTTCCAAATGACTGCATGTGGCTGCACTGTCCTAACCATGGTATTTGGAGTGTGATTTGAGATTTGACTTGCACATTGGTTTGTTAGAAATGTACAGAGTTAGAGGAGATGACTGGAAATTTTCAGCTGGAAATCGTGCTGTACATGTGTTTAGTGAAGTTTGGGGACTCTGGGGGAATGTGACTCACCCCTGGTCTAAACAGATATGTCTATGCCCTGGTTGGGGGAGTGGGCCTGAGCAACAGGGGGCACTTAAGAGGTCATGGACCTGCCCTGGTGTATCTGAGGGGATATGGCCCTATTCTAGGGGATTTGACAGAAAGTTGGACATGTGTTAGTCTGTTTTCTGTCGCCATAACAAAATACCCAAGACTCGGTGCTTTATAAAGAAAAGAGGTTATTTAGCTCACAGTTTCAGAGCTGGAAGTCCAAGATTGGGCAGCCGCATCCACGCAGGCTCTGGTGAGGGTCTCACAATGGATGCTTCACGATGACAGGGAAAGATCACATGGGAGATAGTGAGAGACCAGGTGGGGGCCAGTCTTGTTCTTGGGGTCTGCCAGCACCCTTGCTTTCTTGGAGTGGAGTGGGAAGGGGGATTGGGACTCCCTCAAATCCGTTCACTAGTTTTCTTAGGATGCCAGGAGTCAGTGGGCTTCAGGTTCTCCTCTGACTCCCACCTACCTCGCCACCCATCCCAAGGAGCCAAGGAAACCTAAAGATCATTATAATGACAATCTCAACACTGCTTCAGGGTTCTGCTGGGATCTTGGGCTTCAAAAGTCTGGACGTTAAAAGCCCTGTCTTCTATGTCATGCTGTGCCTCCCGAGTCCGATATCGATCCATCTACAGAACAAGTGTAGCCACATCGGGACCACAAGCAAGGCCTGGCCATCAACATTTCGCATTTATATCTGACACTCCCCCTTTCAAATATAGAGAAGCCTTCTGGGTGTCCCTTGGGGTGGAAAGCTCTGTAGGGGGTTGGTTAAGTTGGCATTTTTGCAGTCAAGTCGAAGGAGAAATGTATAGTTACTCTTTCATAATAGTTATTTAACAGTGGAAACACTAAAAGATTAACAGTGGTTGTCAAGGCCGGTAATTTTATATTCAGAAATAACCGCTGTGAATGTTCAAATAGTGGTGTAAGTAGGGCAATGGATTTTGGTTTCTGCATGAGAGGTAATGCTATTTCAATTATTCAGTGATTAAGTGAGCTGCTGCTCTGGCTCTATTTCAGCAAAACAAACCACCCTAAACCTAGTGGTGCAAAGTAGCAACCATTGTATTAGGACTCATGGACTCCACGGCTCAGTGTTGGATAGAGGGCGGAAGGGACAGCTTACTTCTGCTCCATTATGCTCAGGTTCTTAGTAGAAAACCTAAAGGATAATGACTTGGGGAACAGGGACTGGACCATGGAGGCTTCTTTACTCATAAATCTGGTGCGTGGGCTAGAATGGCTAAGAGGCAGGGATCCATTGGGACTTCCAATTCATTGTCTGTCCAAGTGATTTGGGCTTCCTGCTGTTATGGCTGCTTGCAGACCTTTGGACTTCTCACAAGGCAGCCTGGGGCTTCAGAGCAAACCTCTGCATTTTACACCACGGCCTCACTGCCACAAAACTTCCCAGACTCTATAATAGGGGCAGAGACCCCACTCTTCAGTGGAAGACACATCAAAAAATTCAGGGCCATTTCTTAGAACTGCCTTTGGTACTTATAGACCAGAGGAGCAAGTTGATAGCTGACAAAACAGAAATGATCCCTCACTAAAAATTTGGCCTGAAAGATTTGCGTGCTAAAGTTGCACATAACAAAAATTATATTCTTTATAAAGTAAGCCATCTCAGGTATTTTGTTATAGCAAAGGAAAACAGACTAATACACGCCCAACCTAGCAGTACATGGTCCCATTTGTTTGTTTGGTTCAGAGGTTCATTCTATGATAGGAATGTTCAGCTTCAGGCAAAGCTTGCTTTTAGCACTTAGTCAGCATTTGGCCACAGTATCTATTTGTTGTACCATATATAATAATTTTTTATACTCTCATGAATATTTTTTTTAGCATTTTTTCTGTGCCAGGCACTGTACCAGGAGCTCTCTGTATGTTCCTTCAGTATTTCCTCAAATTCAGATGTTTGAAGGTGCTGATTTTAATTTTGCTCTTCATTCATTCATTCATTCATTCATTCAATTAATATTTATGAAGCACCTATTGTGTTCCAGGCACAGTTCTGAGTGATGTTGTTTTATTTATATTTCTCTTCCTTTTCATATTTCTTTTTCTTTTAACCTCGACTCTGACAGTAACAGGTACGAAAGTGTGGATTTCGTGTGGTAGTGGCAGATACATGTGTTTTCAATATAAATCAAAATAAAAAACGCAAGCGAAGGAGCACTGAGACGCTATTAACAAACGTCTCCTGTACTCTCCCGGGTTCCTGCTCCCAGGGCGCCACACCGCGGGAATCACTTGGTTCATCCCCTTACAATCCGTGAGGCAGGGGCTGGGGGGCTCAGCCTCCTTCAGGGGGCTCCGTCATCTGTCTCAGGTGCCAAGCTGAGCCTGGGACCCGTGAGGAGAGCGACTCTGCCGAGGGCCACCGGGCAGGCTGACCCCCGCACGTCTCCAGATGCGAAACTGTCACCCAAAGATGCCCCTGGGTGGGCGGGAGGCGAGGACCCTGCTCAGTTTCGATGGGGCCAGAGGGGCCCTACAAATAACCTGGCCTAGGCAAGCCTCTGTCCCACCTGGCGTGGCCACGAGAAAGGCCAGCTTAGGTTGGGGACTGCTTTGGAGGTGAGTCCCCCACTGCCTAACGGTGAGCACCTTCTGGAGGGAGAACCTCTGCGAACCTCCGCAGGTGCGCAGGCCTGAGCCCCTTCCTGCTCCCTGTTCACCCTCCAGGTGAATGTCCTCCTGCCACTGTGTCCCCTGCAGTGTCCCCTAAATGCCTAAAGGCTCAGCCCCCATCCTTCTCTGTGGGAGCCCAGCCCCGGGGCCCCGGGGGGCCTGGTCTTCGCTTCCCACACACCCCCCCTGTTCCCAGGAGTCTGTGAATTAATCCTGAACCTGCAGGAGAGGGAGCTGGCGGGATCCCTGGGGAGCACAGGCGCTGGGCGACCTCAGCCTCCCGTCAACCCTTTCGCCAAGTGATGCTTCGGTTCTTCCTTCTGCAGGTGGCTTGACTGGCCTCGGCCACTGCAGCCCCCGGGAGCCTGTGGCAACCTGCGGCTGGGGAAGCCCTGGACACCATCGGTCCCTCTTCCTTCCTGGCTGCACCTCTCACCCCCAGGCCAGCCCAGCCCCAGCCACACAGGGTGGGCCCAGCATGGCCCCTGGAGGCACGAGCAGTGGGCCATGGGGCAGAGCTCCCTGCCCACCCCAGTCTCCACCTGGGCCCCACCTCAGCCCTGGGACATGCCAGTCTGGCCACCCAGTCCTGGGTCCACCTTGAGGCTGTGCTGTTGGGTGCGCGGGAGTGCGGGCCCAGGGAGCGCTGTGGTGGGTGGGCTTGGCTCTTAGCTGATCCCCTGGTCCCCTCTTCTCAGTGACATGGAGCAAGGAGGTCGAGGTGAAGCCAGACAGACTTCCTAACCTGGAGAGTGACCTGGGGCAGGAGGGGAGGGC